TTCTAGTTAGCAACTTTTAAAACCACGAATTAACAGTTTGCATCACAGACAACTCAAATATTAGATTTAAAGAGGTCATGAACCAGATTACATCTTAGCTTGGTACAGTAGATTTCTGGTTTTATATTTCTGCTCAGGTTAAGCTGTATCATTGAATGTAGAATTGTGCTTTGGAGCAGTTTTGCAACCTTTGGACAGATCCAACTCAGGCATCTGCTCTTTGATTTCTCTTGGAAATCCAGCCTTGAATAAACTTTTCTCATGCCTATAAATAAGCAGGAAATGAGTGACCATCTCCTGCTTATACTACTTTACCCAGTGCAATAATATTTATGAAAGGAAGAAGATGAAGATCATTAAAACACATCACAAGCATTTTGGACATCGTAAACAATACTTTAGTGCCAAATTAGACGTGAATGCTCACCTATAAAGAATTCTGGAGATGCATTTGTTTTTATGCAATCACAAAGCTGCAGTTTTTCTTTCTACACTCCAGAATGTGATGCAACCGGTCGTCAGATTTTAGAGTAATTTTGCAACAAGGATTTAAGTAACCAACAGAACTGCAATGAGATCCTCCCACAAAGAGCAAAGAGGCTCTGCTTTGTCACATGTCATTTTGATGGACTGCGCTCAGTGTGTTTGTGGGTGTTTTTGACTTTGAGACAGATTAGGAGCTTCACAGAGTCCATTTTTGTTTTCATGCTTAAGCTTTCGTAACACCGCAGGGCTGAGGTGGTAAAACTGGAAGGTTTAGTTGAGTTTGTGCAAAGTTTTGTGTTGCAAATGGATAAAAACAACAGCTCTAAATTTGCATCAAACCCAACAAAAGTAAAGCACTTGATCTTTGTGGTATAATATGAAAGCCACATAGAACCTGCCCCCACAGGACCGAGCACAATACAGGGCTGTATGTGTGGGTATTATTCACTGGAGTGTGCTAAAAAAAAACTCAAAAAACCTAAACTGTGTCACTGGAGAGCAGTCATGATGTTTCAGTGAGGGTCTCACTCAGCTGATCAGAGTTCATTCAATGTGCAGTTAAAAGAGACATACATGCAGGTGTTCACTGAGTGTTTATTGCGGCCCGAGGAGGCTTCATCCATGCAAGCTGTAATTACAGCTGTAATACTGTTCTGTTGACAAAGTGCACGAATGCAAGTCATCCGAATGTGCACTATGTACACAAGTTTTACCTTCAAACTCACCTGCAGCAGCAAGCAGGAGGTAAACAGCTCCACTAGGTCAGCGCAATAACCAAAAGTTTCTTTTGTATCTGGTATCACGTGGGCAGAAAACGCTCCATTAATCTTTAACCTTTGATATAACTCTGCTCTCCCTTGGTCTTTGGCTTTTCTCTGATTCAATTTAAAAGAAAGAATGGCATGCAAAAGAATCATACTAGATCTAAAACTTTTAACATATTTTCACAAAAGAATACTTATACTTCAATGAAGCACTAATAATATTTGGAAACGGTACAAATGTGTAGGTTACACATGCGTCATGGTGTTTTAATGCATCAGTTAAAATTTATGTAAGTGTTTTAAAGCATTTAAATGCCTTGTATATACAATATGTAACTTTAAATACCATAGACTGCATATCAAAGATGGCCAAAGAAATTGTGACATCATAATGTTGAGCAAAGTCCAGGGTGAACATTTTCACCTTCACTATGTTCCCGTTTTGAAACCAGATGTCACAAGCTACATGCGTGCAGAGAATTGTTAATCACATGCTGAAGCAAACTGTGGTTTATGCTTCTTTCAGACTCCAATAAAAAACACAATTTACAAAGTGAACTTCATGTTCCACTTCATGTGGGACTGCTGAACTATACAACCAGAGGAGTCGCCCTCTGCTGGCCATTAACAGAAAATCATGTTTAAGGGACTTCCACATTGGATTCTGGATCTGTGAACAACTTATAAAATCTGTGTTGTAGAAGCAAGTCTTGCCACTCATTCAGTTATCTAAATTAACTTTATTGTGGTCACCAGAACATAAAATTGTTATAATGACATATATGTCATATAAAAAAACACATGCTTAAACAGTTTGTTGACTTTTACGCTTTCATCACCATCTTTGCTGATGCAGAACTCTCCAGTATGTTTTATTTCTAATCCTTTCAACTATATTTTAACTGTATTTTAATATCTATTAAAATATGCTTTGTGGTTGTCTACCATATCAGATCAGAAGCTGGCAAGTGGTTGCTGGTGGTTGTTGGTACTATCAGTCACACAGAAGGTGCTGCTCCAAAAACATCCTTATGATTGCAGATTGTTGCTGTTCGTTGTACTTTGAATGGAAGATGCAGAATTGTCTACAACACCCTCCAACTAATAGTAAAATTGAAATAAAACTTTTAAAAGTGCAAAAAACATTCACCTTCAAAGTAAAAGTTGTGCCTCTGTGTTCCAGACATGTTTCAAAAGGTGGTGCTTTTATTTTGAAGACGAATTTTCTCTGTTTGTGCTTTTGTTGCATTTTTCACAGTTTCATAGATGCTTGGAGAGACTTTGGTGAGTGTTTGCAGTCGGTGTCTTCCATGCAAATTGCGGTCGACTGCTGCAATCTGCTAGAGAAGAAAGCGATTGCAAAGATTTTTGTGGTGCAGCAATTTGCACTTCTTTGTGACTAATTTCAGCAACCTCAAGCAACCACAGAGAAACTGGTTGAGGAATACAGATTTTTCCCTGGCAACCAGTTTTGGCAAATGGTCACAGCAAAAATGGCAGATA